GTCATTGTTGTTTAAAACACTAGTGAAATGAATTTGTCACACATTATTACTACCATATGACAAGATACAACCAGAAAGTGACAGATTGTACAACGGCCATGTATATGTTATTGAGATAGAATGTATGTAGCGTAAATTGGATACCGAACATGAAAAAACGCTCCCATACTTGTACATGTATGTCCTCGTTCGCGAAAGAGTTAACTTTTCGATGGTTTAATAACACATACCGTTACTGACAAGTCGAAAATATGTAAGTGTTATTATAAAGAATGGCGGGAAAAGAAACGATGAATGTGGATTTAATTTTAGGTCGTACTCTTAACTCAGATACTGTTAATATATTCTATTCTATGTACACCCTCGTTGGTTCCGATACGAACACATTACACAGCATGTAAGCACTACTGTCGTGGTACTTGATATCCCCATCCGTGCACAATGGACATTTAAATTCAGGTTTCAAATGAAATTACAATGTGCCAGCCTGCAAACGCCAAGTGATCAGCAGAATAAAAACAAAACGTGACCCAGACAGCTGGTCGCGTAATGCTATGTAACAACAACTGGTGTCAGCTTTTCAAATTGGATGTTCCAGCATGTTATGAAAATAGTATACACGCAGGCGTTTTACAAGAACATGAAAACGATCACGTCACGAAGCTGTGAAATGACGTCAGTAAATCATCCTATCGATAATTCGTGTGAAAATTAACAAAAAATACATAAATATTCAACAGCGAGCGTTGTACATTCTTTAGTGTAGCGCCAAAATACAGTTGGAAGTTTGCCAAATATTAAGCAAATATTAATGACTGATATTTGAATTGTTAAACCCGTATTTGTTTTCACTAAATGTCAACATAAAAATAATATGATTGGGAAGTAAAGAAAGATATCGTACAAACACTATTGAAATTTATATCAAACGAGTTCAGGAATTCTGGAAAATAGTGACCCTCAACTTATTATAAAAAAAAAATCCTATAATCGAAATCCATGCTGTACCAAGTTTCCCACCATAACTACTACGTGCTTTATTTTCTAATTTTAATTTTTTTACTTTCCATGGGCTCAATGCATTTCTAATAACTGTTAAGTTGGTATGGACTCAATGATCATTACTCACAATAATGCATATAGCACACATACCCTGGCGTCTAACTGATCACTGATCACGTACGTGTTGTTTTGTAGTTCTACTCAATAAAACTAAAACGCCGGAGGGAGACCGTGTTGTGAAGAATACGACACATCAAAGAGCCGTATCTGCTTCATATAGCTGGCCGAGACATAAAGGGTAAACATGAAAGACGTCGATCGTGTATTTTCCAGGGTATGGACTCTAAATTTATCTACAATAATTTTCACCGTGTGCCAGTTATACCCAAATAGCATAGTTGGTTGCTGGCTGGGGGATTGACTTCATAAATTGCACATGAGATACCTGGATTGTCCGTATGCCGAGAAAAACAGGTATTTTGGGATCTTACATTCCGTTGAGGGCGAATAGGCGTGTACAAGTGCTCAAATAAGGCCATGTATTACGTGCTTTATAACACAATACAGACTCGTGATTGACCAAACTATTACGCGCTCAAATTGCAGCATATGGTGTACGCAAAGACACTAGTGTCTTTGATGTAAGGAATACACATTTAATTTGTAACATGTTTTGTATATTTTATAGCAAAAATATTTGTACCCACTCCACTCTACTATAACTCCACTCTACTATAGTTAAGTAGCTACCCTCAAACCGTGATGACTGGGCCATCTTTACATGCGTATAATAACGACTGCGTATGTAACAACACAACTATGAAAGTTGTAGTTTATTGTCTTGTTCCACA